CCAGCAGTTTCTTCATTAATTAACCAATCGTATTCACAGCATGCAAAGGAGACTCCCATATCATGTGCACATCTGTCATGTCAATGTGGAATCCAGAAGCCAACCTCAAGTCTTGTCCCTCACTCAGGAGCCATGCACCTTACTGTTTGAGACAAGGTCTCTCATTGGAACCTGGGACTCACCAATTAGGCTAAACAGCCTGACCAGTGAGCCCAAAGAGCTACCTCTGTCTCCAACTACCTGGCACTGGGGTTCTAAGCATAAGTCACCACAGCTGGCTTCATGTCACCACACCTGGCTCTTTACATAAATTCTAGGGGCTCATCACATGTCCTTATTCCTGTCGGTAGGCACCACACAGGTGAGCTATCAGACCAGCCCATTGCTTAACTATTGTAGAGTATTCAGGAGAGAACACTGCTCAAACATGGGTTAAGCCAATAGAAAGTCTTTATTAGCTGGCCAGGTGTTGCACTGAGCTTTTCTCAAATAGAGCCTTTAAGCACAAAAACCATGTTATGGGTTGACATACTTTAGTTAACAAGAACAGTTATCCAGAAGTAGAACTACAGAAGCTAAAAATCAAGGTTAGTACATTTTGAGACTTTCCCAGAACTGTACGGACTTTGATTTATGAGGGTCTTGTTTTAGTTTTGGCAGGTGGTGCTGTCTGTGTGCTGAGTTTTACAGCCTGAATGGCACTTCCTTCAAGGAGTCAGTAGTGCTAAGATCCGGGGTTCCCACTACACTAACCTTAAAAGAAAAAGTCATATCTGGGAATCAGAGGCAGAGGATCTCTGTGAGTTCAAGGCTAACCTGGTCACATAGGGAGCTGCAGAACAGCCAGGACCACATAGAGAGATCCTGCCTCAAAACAAGCAAACAAGCAAAACTCATGAGCAAAAATGACCAAGACTCTTTGCTGGAGTCTGATAATTAGACTAATGTTCTGTTGATTAATCTTTTCAAGTTAGCATAGATAGGTAATAAGGGCACTCAACTTTTCTTTCTCCTTTTCTTGATTCTCCCCTACCCTGAATCCCCTTCCCTACTCTACTGACATGACCAACTTCATCTCAGATAATTTCTGGGTTCTCTCTTCATTCTGGACACACAGATTTGTTTATATATGGTTTCCCAATCTCCTGCTCTATACACACCAATTATATAGTGTTGAAGCATGAATATAATTTCACTTTGAAATAGAATTGCTTTATTTTTAATTGAAGCATTATTAAAAATATTTTGTTTCTTGATAATCATAAAAATAAAGTTAATTTATTGATTCCAAAACACATATGCATACACAAGCATGCACACACATGCAGGTATCCATACACAAAATAAAAATAAAATCCAGTAAAAAATGATAAAACACTTGTCTAGCCAGGCAGTGGTGGCTCATACCTTCAATCCCAGCACTTGGGAGGCAGAGACAGGCGGATCTC